AGCAGGAACACTGGAGGCAGGGGGCGAGGCGGGGGAGGAGGCGGAGGACTGGCTGGTGTTCCACCTCACCACGGGGTACGGGCTGCGCCTCGAATGTGCCACTCGCAGCCGCGTCAAGGTGAGCACCCACCCGCCCCGTGCTGCCACGGCCCGGGGGAATGTGCTGCTTTGGGGGGTCGGGAATGGGGGTGGGGGAGGGGTGATGTTTTTTTAACAGGATACAGTGCACAGTGCAGTTGTGCACAGAGCTTATTCTGACGCATGTGATTTTCGTGCGTGTGCCATTGTCCCTTATGCGGAACAAGCAGCTGCAATTGTGGCTTGCAACCATTCACGAGGCAGTGGAGAATGTCGCCATGAGGAAGCAAAGAGGAAGGCCGCGATCCGCAGCTAGTGGCGGTCGCTGATAGACAGGCGACCTGCGATATTGAGGCTTGTTTATGTGCTATACATAGTATAGGCATTGTGTTGTAATAGTAATTTATTGTACGGAACTGTAATAGTGCTGCTTTAATCCCACACTACCTGTTACAACACCCTGGTCAACCGCAATTTTCGCATGTTCGCGAAAGCTTTCGAGAAGCATCCTGCAATTTCGTGCGGGCTGCATCGGAATGTTCTGCAGGGCCGCAGCACTCTTCCCCCCCATGAACGCAGCTGGCGTGGCGTGTGACGAGCGACAAGCGTCACTGTCACCGACATGCTTCACCTCAGTCCCAGCCGGGGCTGGGAACTGGTGCATAAAAGCCTGATACGAGTTCACATGGCAATCCTGCACTAATCTCTTCAGCTTCCTTATTCGCGTTGGTAATAGCAGGCCCTTCTTTCTACTTCATCTATCCGTCACCTCGTTTCCAGCGCCCTTGCTTCCACTACTTTTTACCATCAGTCAGTCCACTGCTATTTTCGGACTAGATGCCACTTGAGAGCTCTGCTGGAGGGACTGAGGCGTTTCCGAGCCTCGGGCGCCATTGTTCGCTGTCCTCGTGTCAGCTGCTCGACTTCCTCCCGTTCAAATGCGATGCGTGCCATCAGGTCGGTAGCTACTTGCAGCGACACAGAGCCATCCACGGCCGCCTGAAACGCGCCAATTACGTGTCAAATCAATTCTTCGAATTGCTCTACTGCTCTCCCGCGTAGCCGTTCTGCACGCTCTCTTACGCGATCGCCTTCCACTAATCTCCCCGATGCCGTTCCGCCCATCCCCCCGTATCCCGCAGCCCTTTTGTCTGGACCACCGGTCGTACGGCGCGCACGAGTGTCCCGACGTCCACGTCAAGGACGTTACCGTTGCCGTCTGCCCCAAATGCTCCTCTAGCTTCAGAACGTCGCGATTCGAAGACGCCGAGAGAGCCCTCGCGCTTCACGCGGGGAGCAGCGACTGCCAGGCGGCATCGGCGGGGCGGAGGACCAAGTGTCCGGTGCGGGGCTGCCGGCAACGACTGACCACTTCTAATCGCGCAAAGTGCATGTAGGCACTTGATCTTGGCCTCTTGCTTTTGTTAAGAGTGCGATCTCTCTTTGCAACGCTCGCCATCGTGCTCCCATCCATGCCCCCCAGCAATTAATCCCTGTTTTTGCTCTCCCGTCGCCACCACCCGATCAGGTCGTGCGCGGAGGACCACTGCCTGCAGCACCGCCTCGCCTCCGACCATCACTGCGCGCACCTCGTTGCCTCCTCCGCCGCGAAGCCCGCACGCGCTGTGGGTAGGGGGGCCGGGCAGCGGTTTCTGGATGCGCTAGCAAAGCGCACTGGCGGAGAATGCGCGCAAAGCAGCTCTTCTGGTTCATCCTCGGATAGCGCGAATGCGGGACTCGGCGTCTCACCAAGCGTGAAGGCCCATTGATATTTACTTAGACGGTTGATAACAGCCTGAAGGCTACACTTTGTACTAGAACAAATTACCAACAATAGGGCTTATTCAAACATGATTTTACTGTCTCGTACCTATTTTGTCTAATCAATCATGTGTCTTGCTGGTAATGACGTGATGTCTCTGATTTGGTCCACTTCGCAATGCAAAACATGCTTCGTTCCACGAACCACAGCATACATTGCACTCGGTGCAATGTAGTCACACGTGCGCTCCAGTTGAAATGGCTCCCCTGGAATCTGATCAAAGCATGCAACATCAAAGCGTACCCAGACAAAGATAGTGAAGGCATGTCTGAAACAGAGGGACCAACACAGATGGAAATGGCATGTAGTTACAGCAACCACCATACCTGATAGCCAGAGTGTATTTGCACGCCAGTGATGACCGCATAGTCTGCAGTCTCGGGGTTCACAGTGCGCTTCACCAGCCTCTCAATGTCCTCCGTGATTGCCGCCAGTGCCGCCTTGGTCACTCGCACCAGCGATGGACCATCCGATCCAAAGGAGTGCACCTGGGAAGGGAAGGGGTGGGGAGGTGGGGGTGGGGAGTGTCAGGCCACGGAGAAAGCAGGGATGATTGGGCGGGTGTGAAACAGAAATCCAGCCAAGTCTATTAAGGGTCACCTGTTGATTCAACGGATTCAGCCCAAAATGCATTGCATTGTCCCAAACAAAGACACATCACCAATACTGCCTCTTACGTACCCGAGCAGCGATCTTCTTTTTGAGCAGCACATACTCCTTGTCGTCAGCGTCATCCTCCACCAGGCCTCCCTTTGATATGTCGTTTTTTATGGCGATCAATGCCCCGCACGCACTGGACGGCTTGCCCCGGCCTCGTCTCAGCAACGACCCCACCTGCCCTGACTCGCCCACCGACACGTGTGGAAAGCCAAAGAAGACGTCTGGCAGGAGAGCAAGGGAGGTGAGCAGAGGAAGGTAAAGTAGAGTGGCTACATGGTCAAGGAACGTGGAAGGCATTGTAGCCGAGTACAATGCATGCTAGAAAGCAAGCATCTGGAGCGAATGCATGTAGAACATCATGCATTCATGTGACTCACATCTCTCGCGCACTTGGTCATCATTGACTTCACAAGGAAACTCCGGCGAGTGCGACATGGCGGCCTTGAACCCCGTGGTGCCGCAGTTGACGAGCCCTCCCAGCCCCGCGATGTTGAACGACAGCCCAAACTCGCGGTCTATCAGCTTCACTATTGGCCGGCAAACTTCGTCTCGACACGTGTTCACGAGCGCTATGCAGTTCTCCCTGGCGTGTGCGAGGTGCGTGAGGGGGGTGCATTGCACAACACAGCAAACAAAATCAGTACATTGTGCCAGTCGCACGATCAGTCCAGGAAAAAGACAGTAGAGAGCTTGTGAGTACGGTGCGGGTGTACCTCTTAAAGCCGAGGTTGGCGAGTTCGAGGGCGAGCGCGTGGATGAAGGTGTCCTCCTGCATGGCGTTGGGGAAGGTCACCGCCATTGTCGCCAGTGCTGCTGGTGCAGCCTGACGGTGGATCAGATGAGAAGCACAGCCAGATGCGATCGACGTGGGTTGAATATGATGCCATATGCATTGTGGTGCCCTGATTAGCGTGTGAGTATAACAGGACATTGCAGTTTTGAGACGTCTCAGTGCACGCGATGGTTTTGCATGTGTTGGCTTCTAACTGAACCCACCTGCTTGGTGTACGCAAAGAATGATCCATTCTCGGAAGTGGGAGTGGCGGACGGAGCGATTTCAGGGGTCGTTGGCGACGGCGAGGGTGGCGGTGATGGAAGCAGGCTGGCGATGGGATAACAGGCGACGGAGATGAGAGACGAGAGGGCGTGGAGCAAGCTCGCGTTGAGGGAGAGGAGAGAGAAAGTGGCGCCGCCAGCTATAGTCGCGGCGACGATGCTGGGAACGATCAGGTGAATACCGGAAAGGGAAGGGGGAGAGACAGGTGCTGGCGGTGTCACAGATATCCGCGAGAACAGGGGCTCCTTGCTCCACGTGTCACCGCATTGTCTTTCATCTAACGAATTGTTGTTTCTGTGGGAGGAATTAACCCGGCTGTTTCTAGACTGCGTCCCGCCATTGCGGGCCTGACAGAAGCTGCGGCTTTGTAATATCGCAGGAACCGTTCCTAAAACGGAGACGTGTGTTGGAATCTGTCTCGGCGAGAGCAGAGCTGGCGGGGTGTGGAGTGATTGGCGGTGAGTGGCAGCTCGTAGCATCGCACCCAGACGTAATGCAATGGAGCAGCTAGGTTTCGTGATTTGTGAAGTACAAGACGACAATAATCACTCGACTGCATCCAAGTCATTCCACCCATAAGTTCATCCTCAGCAACATGTGAAATATGGGATGTGGTTGCGGGGCGGGTGTGAAGCGAGAAGCAGCCTTGATTTGGAGAGTGTTGCGGGTCAAGGAAAATGTCTTGTCAGACGGCTCAGGGCGGGTCCAACTTTGCACACTCCCGTTTTTTTCGTTATTTTTACGTCAATGCACTAGTCAAACTTGACTGTGCCCCAGTGCGAACTCCAAACATTTCCTGTCCAGTTCCGAGTGCACAATTCGGACTTTTGACAAGGTACAGTAACGCTGCGGGGTACAGTAACCTGGAATGAGGGGTTACCCAATAAAGCGATTTTTTTTGCACCTGTGACAGAGGGGGGATTCATTGGCGAAAACAAATTAGCGAAACAAGGTGTTACCTTCTGGCGTGTTTGACGCGAAACGAGTTTGACGTGAACCTTCGGACGTGTTCTGCACGTCCCCGGGCACGTTTTCGAAATGTCATCATATATGTACAGTCTCGCGTCAAATGGATTCTGGTACGTTTGTAGTTCTGTTACATGCCGAAATGTGGTAACTGAGCTGAAAATTTATTGTACATGTGCAAAGCTGGACCCGCCCTCACTCCCTGGGGAGTTCCAGCTGCTCACCTAGGTGGTGGGGGGTACGTACTCTCCGACCGGCTTCGTGCAAGCGAAACTCGGAGAAGTGTGTGGGCGAAACTTCACGACGGAGCAGAAGTTCGCCCGCAGAGGCACGAAATTTGTGTGGCCTGTAACAATTTTGCCATCGCACGTTCTGTGCAAGCACCTTCTTCCCCCCACCCCTGATGGTCAATCTCCCATGCAGACCAGCTGGGCCAGCCGTTCTGATCAGCTTTTTGGTCTTATCCTCGTAGGGCTTCCTCTCACGCAATTGGCTGCTGTACCTGGTTGTGCCATCTACCAGTCGCCGAAGCTGACGCTCTTCGCTCGAACAAGTTCTCTTATTTCCGTGAGTTTCTGTTGATTACTTTAGGTTCTTCTCGATCTCATATTGTTAATCAGTTTTCTCTTAAACAATATTTTCGCGATTGTCAGGGTAGTCGCAACCTTTTCTAGGGCTGCATTTTTCTCATCTCCTTGATACAGCATTTTGGTGCGTTTAATCATAGTGATAGCTAGCCTTTCTTCTGGGCTTTCCGGCATTCTTTTTGCGGATCGTTCGCAGGCGCTCCAGTCCAGGTTCAGCGGCTTTAAATCATGGAGACTTCTCTACGGCTTAACGCTGAAGACAGGAGCTTGGTCATGCACGCAAAGGAGAATTTTGTGAGTGACGGCAACATCGCGCTTCAGGTCCATGCGAAGCTGAACACGCAGACAGGCAAGCCTAGCTGCTTGATTCAGCTCAAGAAGAAATTCTTCCCGGAGGTTCTGACAAGCATTGACGTTGGTGCTAAAGTGGACGTTGAGTCGCGAGAAGTTACTTACAGCATTCAGGGAAAGAAGACCTGGGAGCTAACAGATAATGGCCTTCTGTGTCTTGATCTCAAGGGCGCGTACAATTACCAGCCTCACACCCAGTCTGGGAAGCCGAAGGCTTCAGTGGAGCTTAGCCAGAAGGTGTTCAATTTTACAGAGGATCAAGATCTGAAGGTCAAGCTGGGGTACAACGTTGTTGCGAGAAAGCCCTACTTGCAGCTGCGTGAGAACAATTGGACCTTGAATGCTGAGTTACGGGAGACTGCTGGTAAGCGCATTCACTGGAGCATTGCCTATGATTTGTAGGCCATGGTTTTAGGATACTATACGAACAAACTTTTGCCACCTTGAAATAGCTGCTGTGTCCGTCCCCTTAGTCTCCTGCTACTGGTCTCTGGAGTAGGCTGGCGTCTTCAGCCTGTCATCATACTACTCATTGTGTGTGCTCTTAGGATGCACAGGTCTGTGCACGTTAAAGCCCGAGTTCTACATGGCAATTTTCAAGTTCAAGATTCCTGAATATGAATTCGCAAAAAACCATGTTACCACCCGAAGTGGAGGATATCCGTCGCGATCCAGAGGGGAGGTTTTGCGACGTTGTTCCATGATTGGCCAGCGACAAAACCAGTCATTCCGAGTAAAGGGTCGGAGGGCAATGGAGCACTGTTCACTTTCAGTAAACTTGAAAACCATGTTGTACTAAATGGCAGGCATATTGACAGCCTACGTTTACTTAGTTCACCCGTTTTTCACGCCCAAACTTTCTCCGTATCACTCCTTTTCTCCGTAGCAGCTGTATCAGTACAGCAGCCTATTTGGTGACAAATACGAACAGCCAATCATAAAACCAGTCGGAGATGTCCCATTTATACAATAACTAGAGAGCTCACATGCGTGTGCGGTGCGCACCCAACCGGATATAGTTACTCGCGCGACGCCAACACGTGCCTGCACGTCACAATTCCATCCACCCCCCCGGCGTCTAACCCGGGTTGCGCATCTAGACGGTCGCACGGTCGAGGGTCAAGTATATCCCTTCCGACTGTTGCTCTCCCTTACGCCGTCGCTCTCCCTTCCGCCCGTCGCCCTTCTTTCCCCCTCGTCGCCCTGCCTTCCGTCCGTCGCCCACCCTTGTTCCCGTCGCCCTCCCTTCCCGTCGCCCTCCCTTCCCGTCGCCCTCCCTTCCCGTCGCCCGCGCTTCTTCCCGTCGCCCTCCCTTCCCGTCGCCTTCCCTTCCCGTCGCCCGCGCTTCTTCCCGTCGCCCTCCCTTCCCGTCGCCCTCCCTTCCCGTCGCCCTCCCTTCCCGTCGCCCTCGCTTTCCCCGTCGCCCTGCCATCCACTCCCCGTCGCCCTCGCCTTCCCTCCCGTCTCCCTTCCCATCTCGCACACTTGTCACCCTCCCTTTTCTCTCCCTACTCCCTCTTTTCCCTCCCTCCAATAATCGCCTTCCTTCCCCCAACTTATACCCCTTCCCTGCTTCCCCCCATCCCCTGCCCTGCTTCCCCCCATCCTCTTCATTCTTTCCCCGTATCCCCAGCCCTGCTTCCCCCCATCCCCTTCCCTGCTTCCCCCCATCTCCTTCCCTTCTTCCCCCCATCTCCGTCCCTGCTTCCCCCCATCCCCCTCCCTGCTTCCCCCCATACCCCTTCCCTGCTTCCCCCCATCCCCTTCCCTGCTTCCCCCCATCCCCTTCCCTGCTTCCCCCCATCCGCTTCCCTGCTCCCCCCCATCTCCATCCCTGCTTCCCCCCATACCCCTCCCTGCTTCCCCCCATCCCCTTCCCTGCTCCCCCCCATCCCCTTCCCTGCTCCCCCCCATTCCCTTCCCTGCTTCCCTCATCCCCTGCCCTGCTTCCCCATGTCCCCTGCCCTGTTTCCCCCAATCCCCTTCCCTGCTTCCCCCCATATCCTTCCCTTCTTCCCCCCATCTCCGTCCCTGCTTCCCCCCATCCCCCTCCCTGCTTCCCCCCATACCCCTCCCTGCTTCCCCCCATCCCCCTCTCTGCTTCCCCCCATACCCCTCCCTGCTTCCCCCCATCCCCTTCCCTGTTCCCCCCCATCCCCTTCCCTGCTTCCCCCCCATCCCCCTCCCTGCTTCCCCCCATCCCGTTCCCTGCTTCCCCCCATCCCCTTCCTTGCTTCCCCCCATCCCCCTCCCTGCTTTCCCCCATCCCCTTCCCTGCTTCCCCATGTCCCCTTCCCTGCTTCCCCCCATCCCCTTCCCTGCTTCCCCATGTCCCCTTCCCTGCTTTCCCCCATCCCCCTCCCTGCTTCCCCCCATCCCCTTCCGTGCTTTTCCCCCTCCCGTTTCCATCGCTTTCCCCCTCCCGTCGCCCTCGCTCTCCCCCTCCCGTCGACCTCGCTTCCCCCCTGCTCACTCGCATTCCCCCTGCTCACTCTCTTTCCCTCTGCTCACTCTCTTCCCCCTTTCTCACTCTGCCCCCCCTTCCTCACTCTGTTTCCCCCTGCTCACTCTCTCCTCCTCACTCTATTCCCCCCTGCTCTATTCCCCCTGTTCTGTTCCCCCCTGCTCTATTCCCCCCCGCTCTATTCCCCCCTGCTCTATTCCCCCCTGCTCTATTCCCCCCTGCTCTATTCCCCCCCTGCTCTATTCCCCCCTGCTATATTCCCCCCTGCTCTATTCCCCCTTGCTCTATTCCCCCCTGCTATATTCCCCCCTGCTCTATTCCCCCCTGCTCTGTTCCCCCCTGCTATATTCCCCCCTGCTCTATTCCCCCCTGCTCTGTTCCCCCCTGCTCAATACCCCCCTGCTCTATTCCCCCCTGCTCTATTCCCCCCTGCTCAATACCCCCCTGCTCTGTTCCCCCCTGCTATATTCCCCCCTGCTCTATTCCCCCCTGCTCTGTTCCCCCCTGCTCTATCCCCCCCTCCTCTATTCCCCCCTGCTCTATTCCCCCCTGCTCTATTTCCCCCTGCTCAATACCCCCCTGCTCTATTCCCCCTTGCTCTATTCCCCCCTGCTCTATTCCCCCCTGCTCTATTCCCCCCTGCTCAATACCCCCCTGCTCTGTTCCCCCCTGCTATATTCCCCCCTGCTCTATTCCCCCCTGCTCTGTTCCCCCCTGCTCAATACCCCCCTGCTCTATTCCCCCCTCCTCTATTCCCCCCTGCTCTATTCCCCCCCCCCCTGCTCTATTCCCCCCTCCTCTATTCCCCCCTGCTCTGTTCCCCCCTGCTCTATTCCCCCCTCCTCTATTCCCCCCTGCTCTATTCCCCCCTGCTCTATTCCCCCCTGCTCTGTTCCCCCCTGCTCTATTCCCCCCTCCTCTATTCCCCCCTGCTCTATTCCCCCCTGCTCTCTCCCCCCTTGCTCTCTCTCTTCTCACCTCCTCACTCCGTTTCCCCCTTGCTCACCCGGTTTTCCCATTGCTCATTCTCTTTCCCCCTGCTCACTCTCTTTCCCCATTGCTCATTCTCTTCCCCGCTGCTCATTCTCTTTCCCCTTGCTCATTCTGTTTCCCCCTGCTCATTCTGTTCCCCCCCTGTTCACTCCCTTCCCCCATGCCCACCCTCTTCCCCCCTGCTCACTCCCTTTCCCCCCTTCTCACTCTCTCCCCCCCTCCTCACTCTCTTTCCCCCCTGCTCAATGTCTCCCCTGCACTCTGTTTTTTCCTGCTCATTCTGTACAGGTCCCCAGCACCAGGTGTATGGAGGGACCCACAAGTCCTGCTTTTTTGCTGCTGTGTATGCAGACAAGAGTGGGAAAAGACATATTATTGAGTAACTTGGTTCTTTTTTTACTAGATTGTTGCACTTCGTAGGTGGTCAATGGTCACTCTACTCCATGTATCAAAATTTAGTTATCATAATAAGCATACAACATTCCCACAGCCATGTATCATACCTAGGGGTACTATCAAACAACCAACATTCCAGCCGGCAAGCATACAAAAGAATGACAACTGACAAGGAAGCAACACGAAGAGGAAGAAATATAAAGACACTCCTGGAACGGTAGGAGACAAACAGAAGGACGACCAGGGGAAAAGAGGGACAGAGAAACGGAGGAAGGGACGTATGGAGGAAGAGAGGAACAGAGGAAGGGAAGGATGGATGGGGAGGGAGGACGGGGGAAAGGGAGGACAGGCAGCACCACGTCTGCCTATGCTGTGTGACTCTGCCCACCGCCATCCACCCACAGCGCCCCAAGCAGCTCCCTGGTGCAGAAAAGCACAAGGGATGAAGAGGTGCCGCTGGGCCGAGGGCGGTGTGGGAAACACCTGGAGGGGAGGGTGAGAGGATCGGATGGGGAAAGGACGGATGGGGAGGGATGAGGAGAGGATGGATGGGAAGAGGAGGGAAGTGGTGAGGTGGGATGGGCGGATGGGGAGAGGACGGGAGGGGGTGGGGAGAAGAGGGGATGGTGAGAGGAGGGGATGGGGAGAGGAGGGGACGCGGTGACGAGGGAAGGGGAAAGAAGCGGATGTGTATAGGAGGAGATGGGGTGAGGAGGAGATGGGGTTAGGAGTATGGTGAATGGGGTATGGTGGAATGGTGAAAGTAGGCATGGGGAATGGAAGGATGGGGAACGGAGGGAGAGTGAATGACGGGATGGGGAAAGGAGGTCTGGGGAAACGAGGAAAGGGGGATGGGAAGTAGGATGGCAGGGCGAGAGGAAGGGACTGAGAGAAGGGGGGAGGAAGGGCGGAAGAGGGGGATGGGAAGTAGGAAGAGGTGGGAAATGGCGACGTGTGACGATGCCACGGGGTGCGGCGGAGATGGGGTGAGGCATGGGGAGATGAGGGATGGATGGATGAGCGATGGAGAGGTGAGGCATGGGGAGATGAGGGATGGGGAGGTGAGAGATGGGGAGGTGAGGGATGGGGAGGTGAGAGATGGGGAGGTGAGGGATGGGGAGATGAGGGATGGGGAGGTGAGAGATGGGGAGGTGAGGGATGGGGAGATGAGGGATGGGGAGATGAGGGATGGGGAGATGAGGGATGGGGAGATGCGGGATGGGGAGATGCGGGATTGGGAGATGAGGGACGGGGAGGTGAGGGAAGGGGAGATGAGGGATGGGGATATGCGGGATGGGGAGATGAGGGATGCGGAGATGAGGGATGGGGAGATGAGAGATGAGGAGGTGAGGCATGGGGAGGTGAGGGATGGGGAGATGAGGCATGGGGAGACGAGGGATGGAGAGATGAGGGAAGGGGAGATGAGGGATGGGGAGATGAGGGATGGGGAGACGAGGGATGGGGAGACGAGGGAAGGGGAGATGAGGGATAGGGAGACGAGGGAAGGGGAGATGAGGGATGGGGAGACGAGGGAAGGGGAGATGAGGGATGGGGAGACGAGAGTGTGGGGTGTGGCGTAGCAGGAGGAAGGAGAGTTGCAAGGCGCGGGGAGTCCCCATTCTCGTTAGAGGGGAGGGAGCGTGGGCGACGGGAGGGAGGGAGCGGTAGTAGTGACGGATGGGTGTGCGCGTACATGACGTAAGGGGAGTGAGCATGAGCGATGGGAGGGGAGTGAGCGTGGGCGACGGGAGGGGAGTGAGCGTGGGCGACGGAAGAGAGTGAGGAGGGGCGAAAGAGGCGTCGCGCAAAGGCGACGGGAGGGGAGGGAGCGTGATCGTGCGTCAGGAAGGAAGCGTGGGCGACGGGAGGGAGTGATCATCCTCTTTGGAGGGGAGTGCGCGAAGGCGACGGGAGGGGAGTGCGCGAAGGCGATGGGAGGGGAGTGCGCGAAGGCGACGGGACGGGTGTGCGAGAAGGCGACGGGAGGGAAGTGCGCGAAGGCGACGGCGACGAGTAGCGTGCATTTTCAAACCAATCTACACACATGGCTTGGCTTTCTAACCCCCTCCAAGCACCAAACTCGTGGTGCAGTGTCGCACAGTTGGGTGACGAATGCTGAAGCTCGTCGCTGCCTGGTTTCGCTTTCGCACCTGTTCAGCTCTCGAAATGTTTTTTTTATGCCTTTCGCGAACACACTTAAAACCCCCGCGTCACTGTTGCAAAAACCATGCTGACCTCGGGCTTTAAACCTATTTCTTCATAATAATGTAGGCCGTTTGGAAGAGCAGGTGCTAGAGATCACTGTGCACAGCAAATTTGTTACACATTTTATGTGAAGTATACACCAGACATTCCAGAGGTTATGGCTAGCTGCCACTCACTAACTCCCCTCTCATCCTCGTCCTCCCTATCTTGATATACGTTACGTTGTAGATGCACAAATGCTGCCATCAGTATATTGTACACATTGGCCTGCAACAATAAAGAAAAGCAGGGGGGAGGGGAAGTGTGTGAGTGTATGTGTGTACAAGGGTTATTGGCAAAAGCTTCTGAAGCGTTTCACTGAAAAGACGGCTCAATGAGGAAGGGGTACCTTTGCCTGACATCGGAGCACAGATGCATGCAATGCCTCCGCATGGCCTATAATGATTATGTTCTCTTCAGGCCACTGCAAATTACAAGACAGCACAGCACAACGAAAGAAGACTGGTGCTTAGTGCATGAAATGATATTCCACTGATAAATCAAGTGCAGTAACTTGGGGCCCCCAAGCCCTTCCCTACCTGTTCTGCAATTCGGTCTATGGCTGTCACCAGTCTCATTGCCGCCCGCTCCACTTCCTCCGGTCCCCTTGGGACCCTCAAGTCCGCGCCTCCTGTCACTGTCCTCCCCACCCTCTCCACACACTCTGCCGGCAACAATGCCTCCAGCGCCGCCCGACCCGCCAGCGCATGGGACAAACGCGGCCGTGCTGTTCCGGGCGGGATCACCTCACAGAGGGAGTAGTCGATGCAGGCATGGATGAGGGGCAGAGGGACTGGCATGCCTGCCTGCCACATGTCAGACGCCGAAGCTGCTTCCTGAGCCTTCCGATCAGCAGGATCGTGGTATGAACCGGAAAGAGAACCGGCCACGTCTCTCGCATGCTTTCGCTTCCGGTGCTGCAGAGCCTGCGCGGGCGTCAGCGGTTGCTGTCAGTGGCAGCAAGGGATGTTGGAGGGGTGATGGACAGAACACGGGAGAGAAGGGTCAATGGAGAAGGCACGCAGTTGCAGCAAATCTGGAAATTGCTGAGCACAAGGACTTCCCCTCGCATAGTCCACCTCATTTGTTATCGGCACAGAACCTGACATTCTTCCCCCTTTTCACCCCCAATTCTCGCACCCTGCACCCGAGCCTCACCCCAGACCTGAGCACCTGCATGGCTCGGAGGATGTGGCGCTGCACGCCCACCGTCCTGCAACCCTCTGCACCACCGCGCCCCACGCGCGGCAGCGGCAGGCACGGCGACGAGGAGCGCCCATACGCGGGCCCCGAGGGCGCGTAGTCCATGTCAGGCGTGCTGCTCATTGCAGCAATCAGCTCCGCCGCCGTCTCCGCGCAGCGCACGTACGGCGCGCACACCACGCGAGTCACCCCCCATCCCTCGCGTCGCAACCGCACCCCCACCTGGTACGCCTGGTACCGCCCCCACTCCGACAGCGGCGGGTCCCACGCCCGGCTCGTAGGCTCCCGCTGCGCCCATCGCGGATCGACGGCGTCTAGGCGCTCCGCGTGGCGCATGACGAAGACGTGCTGGCGCCGCTGCAGCACGGCGGACTGGAACCCGCAGATGCGGAAGAGCATTGCGCGCCAGGGGGAGTCGAACTTGCGCCAGTCGACCTGGCGGGGGAGCGGCGGCATGCCAGCGTCGGGGGGATGCCCCGCGGAGGAGGTGGGGGAGGCGCAGGTGGAAGTGCTACAGGAGGAGGATGGGGAAGTAGAATCCGCGGACCTGTGGCGGAGAATAGATACGGAGGTGGCGGAGGAAGTGGCGGAGAGGTACGAAGGCGCAGGGGAAGGCGGAAAGGAGGAAGAGGGAGTGGAGATGACGGAGTACGCGGGGAGGCGGAGGTTGCGGAAGAAGATGGGGCGGAAGGAGGCGGAGAGGGGCGGGCAGACACACGGCGAGGGGGAGAACGACTGCCAGCGCCGGGCATTTGCCGTGCCGCGACGGGGTCGATTGTGGAATCTGATGCTGCTGCTGCTGCCGCCTGGGATGCGGGTTTCACTCGCTGTCGGCAATGCCAAGGGAGAATGCGTTGGGTGTTCAGCCTCGATTCCTCCCGCTGACGTGTCGTCCTCCCATTCGCCGTCCAGTTCATCCACTACGTCCGCGATAGTAGCAAGCCCGGAGAATCCGAACTCGCTGTTTCGCCAATCGTCGTCTGACCTTTCCCCCTCTTCCCCCGCTTCTCCCCCATATTGCGCCTGCAACCCCCTATGCGCTCCTTGGGAACCCCGCGTGGCCAATCGGCGCTGCAGGAACCCTGGCAGCAGCGCCATTTCCGGAGAGGAATACGGCGTGCTGAAAGCTACCCCCGAAAAGCACGCTTGCGCACTCACTAATAAAATGCCTACAGCACGCCGCTAAGTTAATCCGCCTAGTTCCGCCTCTAATAAATCTCTAATACGCCCTTTAGCCGACCCGGTTCGACCCAGTCTGTCCCACATAGTTGGGTCGGTTGCTGCTTTGTTGAGTGCTGCCAACGGGGGTCGAGGAGAGGCGAGGAGGCGAAGCGAGCAAGGACCAGCTTCTGTTGTTTCTATCAGCATGGCGTGACATGGTGGTAGGTGGGTGCTGCAACATAGGATGGGATGGCACAGATTGGACATGTGACATATCGTGCTGGTTGTGTGCCCACCTGGAGGGGTGCGGGTTACATTCCGGGGTCAAGTGCGTTACTACGAGCTTTCATGCGGCGAAGAAGGGTTGAGTGCTGGTTCT